GTCTACGAAGCTAGCGCGACAATTGACTTAGCCGACTATCTTGTTATTTACCCCTTTGTTAACCTTTTCGTCTACACCGATCGCAACAATCTCGATCATGACGAAGTAGATACTCCACACGATTGTAGGTCTTTCCCCTTTTCCTCGACGCCTGTATCTGACAATTTTCTAGGCTGTGTGAGCGTTCTTACCAACATAGCTAATGCAAAATTCTTCGTCTTGGGCTCTCCAAATGGAGCAGCCTTGACGAACGACTGCATGTATCACTAAGGCTCGACCACGTAACCAGTGCAAGAAGGCGCGCAATGGATCGTCAACTCCGTGTACAACACGGACACTACCGCGCGGACACCCTCATGCCCGCGTGCTGTTTTATCTGCCGCGACCATGCACCCGATAGGGCGGCGCGGAAATCGAAGGAACCTCAGCACATCATTCTCTCCGCCGTACCACAGCTGGAATGATGATGTTCCGCGCTTTCTGAGAAAGCTTACAACTCACCACCAGAATCGCCGTCGGGCTCGAGTGTCTCGAACTTGTCTTTCGTCATCGCCATCGCCGTCGTGCTCCCGTTGCGCCAAGTGCACAGGAGCAGCGCTCGCGGCGCTGCTCTTCAATCCGAGCTGCTATTTTAGCGGCTGCTTGCAACGCTTGCCGGTGGTCAGGGTAGGAGGGCGACGTTGGTTTTGTCTTCTGGTCGTCGAAGAACTGCTGCGCGCTAGCGAGTAGCTGGCCAACGCCCTCGCTCCTACCCCCAACTCGACTGGACTCAGAATCCGTCCCAACTCCCTTCCCTCTCTCATATTCCCCAAAACTCTCCCAGACGGGGGTCGCGCCACCCATGGGCCGCCATGCGTAAGTCATTCCCGCTCGTCCACGCTCTCTCTTGCGAAATGGTGTCCCTCGAGTGCTTTTGATGTTCCTCACCCTACGTTCTTCCCATCCGACGCTGTCCAAAAATCCGCCGGCTAGAGCCCTGGTCGATCTGTGCGCGCACGACTAGGAGTCCGATGCTAACCAGGCCCAGCGCGGCGCGCTCGAGGCTGTCTCGACGCTCGAGGCCCCTACTCTACTGCTGTACGTAACATCTCCGTTACTGACCCACTGGGTGGGGACCCGCCATCTCGCCACGTCCAAGGCGCCATTCAGGTAGAATGCGGTGCCCTGCCGGGATGGTCACTGCCACCAACTGCTTTATCGACCCCTTCCCGTGGGGTCGCGTAAGCACGGTCTGCCACTACGCACTGTGGCTGGGGCGGGCTTCGAGTCATCCCCGGCTCTATCGTGACAAATTGTCCCTGGCAGGTCGAAAGATCATCGCGAAAGGTCTGCAGAGCTGCAGACTTGGGGTTTATATAACGTGTCTGATGTGCGGTCTGGGCTGCCACGCGAGACCCCCAATGGGTTAGCGGAGGTGGGGGCTTTGGCCATGCCTGCTGATAGTGAATCCGAGCCATTCATCGTAGTCTTGTGTAAGAGCATCGACCGTTTGGTCAATGAGGCCCAACAGTCAATGCAACATTTTAGCCGAACGTCTTTGACCAGGCATAGATCATCAGCTTCCTCCAACGACCAACTGGTACTGATAAGCCGCTCATGGCGAAGTTGAGAGCATCTAACCCTGCATGAACTATAGCGGGATCTGAAGGACGCTACTTTGCCTCGTTTTCCGGAGCACGCAGCCAGCAGAGAAGATCCAAGTCCGTCACCGCTCACACGCAGACAGATCGTCTACCTCAATGTCTGTGTGAATCCTTCTCAGCCCGGAGAGTATGATGGATGACGGGGTTCTAGTACATCAACTAGACAGATCCTGGACAGTTTCTTTCGAAGTGTTGAGGGAGAAGGGTCGGGTCTCTCCTACGCAAGTGTTGCTGGACTACAAGTAGTGGTGAATGTGCCTCTAACGGCGGGGTTCAATTCAGCGTCGAGGTGGGAAGAAGGAGGGGGGAGTATAACACTGCGCTGTAGGCGCCATCATCGGAAAGCGACGAGATGGTGGTGAAGATGCTAGTAATTGAAGAGGCGGATGTCATCGCTCAGAGGGGACCGCACGATTGTGCGATAAACGCTGCTATCCTTCAAAAAAATGCCCAGACGGTGCAACAACGGCACAACAGTGAGGCATCAATTGCCTCCTACAAGTCGTGATGGGCTACTTCATCCAACGGCGTACCTACTCCTCCCTAAAGCCGATGGCGTCCGCAGTTTCCCGTCTTTGACAATGATCCTAACGACATCAAAACGTGTCGGGTCGCGCTTGATGCCAACTCAACTTCTGATCAGCCGCGAGAATGGGTATCTCAAGGTTTTGAGCCCACCCCTCTAGGTTCAGAATAATCCTGATGCCAGAAAGCGTTCGCGCGCCTGGTATCGAGGCACAACTCCGGATGGGGGAATTGCGTACCAATGCGATAGCTGTAGGAATCTACAGTTGGCGTTCGTTGCGTTCGATGGCCTCGCCATGGACGGCCAGGAGATCTTGCGACGTTACTATCCGTCTCACAGGTTGGTTCTGCTATCCTAACCCTTGCAGCGTCTGAAAGTGCACAGTCTAGCTGGAGGCGGGGGATCGCTGCTACCATTCCGCGCGTAGATGAGGGAAGCATGCGAGACCAAACAAGCTGAGTCTCTTGGTAATGAGATCATTCAACCATTTGGGCACAATTGTGATGGTTTGATCAAAGTACATCGCGAGCTCGGATCACGCTATCTTCAAAAGGATGGTGGGTTGAGATCATACCGCCGACGTCTTTCTGAGACGATGTCCCCGAAACTCGCAACCGGAATAGTCGCAGCATGCGACGGCGGCTATGATGCGGACGGTCAGAGAGACTTGTTGGGTCAAAGGATTGCATCGCTCAACCTCTCGCAGCTCGAGCGATAGAGGTTGAATCAAGCGTTTGCCAAGCTCGATGGGAAGATCATTGAATGCTTCCTCGGCCGAGACCGGGCCTGGCACCTGACCGCAAATGGGATGCCTTTCTTGCGTGACGATAAGTGTAATGCCATCCATTTTGCCGTCAAAGAAAAGATCAGACAGGCTGCGTGTCAACCTATTGATCATAAAAGACTCTGCGAACGCCTGCGGAAATAGCAGAATGAAATCTGGTTAGAATGGGTACAATGGAGAGCGCCCCACTCCCTTGGCGGGATCTCAATAAACCTAGGGAAGTGTTGGCGGAGCAGTCAGCGATGTCTCTTTCTCGGACCAGCCCTCCGCGCCAGCACATTCAGAGATGCTCAAACGCCATAATTGCAGACTCCGTAGACTCCGTATGCATCAGATTGCGCTGTGTATGTTTACACGGAAACTTTGTGCTGACAGTCAACGCTCCGCCGAATCCGCCATGATCGCCCATCGTGCTACTCCTGTGCCTCCGTATGGCATTAGCTCCCGCATACGCACATGGTTGTCTGCGCTGTCGTCCATGTACAATACTACTTCCTCGTCAATGCGAAACTTTTCATTAGCCGTTGAATACATGTCCAGTTCATTTTCGAAGGCGGGATGTTAACGGTGGAAGGGCGAAAAGTCCTTCGCGAGTCTGCAGCGAGAAGGTGTTCGATGACAAGCACATTACGAACGAGCGCCTCCGGTCATTTGCACACATACCAGTAGCTCAAATCTTCGGGAATTCCCGAGATCGTGCATCGCTGAGAGTAGCGTGTGGAATGCCTTCATTCGACGCATTGTAACAGCGAATACTGGGCTGTGCACTTATGTTGATCATCTCAGACATGTCGATTTCTTTGATTTATCTTTCTGATGGGAACGATATCGTATACCGTTTCAGCTTGTTTATAAGGTCGAAATGGTGTTTCAAAATTGAGGCAGTCAGCTTTTCAGCGATCATCCTAAACGCAGCCACCCATTCCCCTCGCCGATCAACGCGAGTATACCCGATTATCGTCACGGGCCTTCCTTTCGAACGGCCGGCAGTCCCACGGTGATTCGTATTCTCTGCCTTTTGACGGGCAGACTTCCATCTGTTCCCTGCCCAAGCGCTCCGAGTGTAGCATTCGCTGCCTGAGCAGGAAGTTGGTCAATCTCGCGGGGAGTCGACGGGAAGTCGGGGATAGCTGCGTTCGTGGTTGGATTATGAAGGGGTGATAAGTTTTCATCACGACTCGTAAGAAGGGAATTCTGCGTGCGCGCAATGGAGTTGTGATCGCTGTGTTGTATTCGTTGTTAGCATGAAAGGTAACAGACACCCATAAAGCACGAGACTCACTTAGCCGACATTCTGGAGGTCAAGTTACGCTCCATGCGATTCATCTGCTCACGCAATTGAGCGATGGCGGCTAGGATTTCCTGCGCACCAGCGATAGCAGGGAGGTTCTGGCAGTGCTGCAGCTCGGTCGAAAGGATTTGATGACATTCAGCCATGCGGTTGAAATCCGGTTGTAGTCCTGCAGGGTCCGTCTGGGTTGCCATTGTGAATGGGCGCTGCAAGGAAACCCTGCGCTGATGGCCAGGAGGGGTATGGTATTCTGCGATAAATCCCAAAAGTTGCTGCCAATTGTGGTTGCGGAGTAAAAGCTTGTGTCAAGGGAGGATTCCAGCCGACTTTGTAAACAAAAGCACGAAAACCTTGGATGGCGGGAGGAACCGCGTGAGTACGACGATAAACATTTCAAATTGATTCAGCTGACCACGCTGTTGCGGCTGAGCTACGTACTATCTCCTTCTAAGACCTAATTCTCTGAAGATGAGCAAGCATGTGAGCACAGAGAGACATGGTTTTCTAGCGGCTTTACTGTAGAAAACGGTCCCAAGCATGGCCTCTCTCCTCCAGAGGAAACAAACGTTGAAACACAGGCGGACAGCGACTAGTCCTTGAAATCTCAAATCAGGAATCGCATTGTCCACACGTGCACAAAGAGAGGCTCTCGGTCGATTCTTGAACATAGTGGCAGGCTGAAGTAACGGAAGACTAAGCAGGCGGATGCACAGCGCACGTGAGCAGCGATGCCAGTTGGCTCGAGCATTACTGATTGAATTCAGATGTAATGTCCTGCAGCCGTCGAGAAAGAATATAATGACGTCACGCGGCAAGTTGACGAAAGGGTAGCAACGCCAGCAAGACATCTGTCAGACAACGACGCTCGCGCCCAGTCGTTACGAACGGCTGTTACGCGGCTTCTATCAACTATGAAACGTCTATCGTGAGCGATGAGAGAAAAACGGAAGCAAAGAGCATTCGTTACGGTCCACCATGCAGGTTTTGACTACTGACTACCAGTGGTTGTTCATCAAACGAAAGGCAGAACTGTGCACCCCAAGCTGGGCAAGGAAGCGCGAGGAGGGGGAGTGGGCAAAGGGATCTATAATTGGCGCGCAGAAAAAAGACTTCGGGGGCGGCTTAGGATAGAGAATTGGTCATGATGATGGTGTAAAGATGCGACGGATTTTGTGTCTCGCGCCGTGTATCTATGTGGATGGAAATAGCTTTGTAATTTGCACGATTACGGTTTCATTACTGATTTTCAATGTGTGGAACCAAGATACGCAGCGTCCCGTGTAAGCCGCGAATTGTACACCATTGATGCGTAGGTGAGTGGCAATGATGATGTCTGTTGGGGGCTGGCTGGACTCCTCCTTCACCAACCTCCTTGACAGCCTGAGCACGATTGTGATCGCCTGCTTCTTCTTAGCCATGTCAGTAGTGAGGGATCAGTCTCCAGATAGAGTACATAGCGCGGCTGCAGCTGCAACTGACCGTCAGGTTGGATTACCGGCTACCTCTGCTGAGCGTCTTCTCGATGTCGGAACCGATGAACTTTGCACGATCAAGCCCATCCCAGCTCGGATCTTCGACTAGACGCTGCGGCAGTACGGCATCTGCTCCTATGGCTTCGTGCGCTTAGTGAGTCTAGGTGTTACTTCGAGATCTTCCATTTCGGGTTGAATCTTACTTTCAAGAGACAAGTGTAAGAGGTGGTCTGCAGCTGGCCACGAATAAATGACCTTTCAATCTCAACGCAAGTTTGATTGGGCAAACCGTTAGCATCTTCTATACCTGACAGCTCTGTCGCTGCAGAATATAAGTAGGGTTGCTAGGTCGACTAACGAGCCCTCTATCGCGTTAGTCATTGGACACAATTCTATCTTTCTTGTACAGACCATCCATCCACCCTGCTTCAGGTCTGTGACGTCTTCCTCGCCCTCGATGCTCCATCTTGCTATCAAACGGCACCGGCGCAACCTGCCCTCCCAACGGTGACTTTACTCTCGAGGCGGCGAGACTTCAGAAGTTCCTCATGCCAAGTTATAAATGCGCTGCACCTGAACAATGCGGGGCCTCTTTTGGTGGCAATACGAGCAACGGCTTTCGATACTCCATTATCGATGGAGATAATCTCCACATCGCCCAAATCCCCAAAAAAAAAATTAAAGAAAAAAATTCCGCCAGCCCCGTACGCCGACGCCTGCCTCAAAACGGCTGGACATGAAATGCTCATGTCCTCGTTCATTACAAAATGGCCCTCTAATATGAGCTGCACGACTATGCCAGATCCTGGCGGCGGGAAATGTAAATCGCGGTACATTAGGGCTTTGCACGGCAACGACAGATTGACGAAGGTGCGGTCGGCGGCAGTGACGACTGGCCCCTCGGCCACAACAGATACACCAACAAAACTAACTCAACGCGATATACGACTAATAAGGTGGTCGAGACAGTCGGGGTTCTCGGCCCTGTATCATGTTTATCTAATCTTGACTTAGGACGGCGCAGACAAGCGGCACTGGGGTTATCAAACGTCTACGTTTTCACAACTCACATTGCATGACGCCCGGTAGAAAGAAAGCGCTCAGTGTGTCTCCCAAAACACTCTGATGCTAGGGGTAGGGGTCACTGTTTCAACTTCCTCTGCTGATGCGCTACACAAGCTTCCTAGGAGACTATGGAACCACGCACCTATCATAGGGCTATTGGAGATAACTATCCACCACGATGAAGGTTGCCGTGCCGAAGAGGCACGGTGTTCACCGCTGTCATGTAACCAGATGAGTTTCCATGCACAGTTCTTCCAAAAGCACGGGCTTATATAAGTCCACGAGCAAAGCAAAGCCGCATTCCGCCCGCCCGTGCCATGTCACGAAGGTGTCTCCATCCACACTGTCATGCCATGCTCTTGCAAATCATACGATAGTATTGCAGAGGATGTAGACGCAGGGGATATCGACGCTAGATCGCAAACTACCACGTACGGAACCATTGCGGGGACAACGTTCCAACGTTCCTCACACCATGGTAACCCCCTACATATATGTCGGCATACTTCGACTCCATAGCATCTGCTGCACCGCAATCCATCCGTATGTGTCCGGGAAGGCTCCAGAGAACATCGAATGGACGTACGTCCAGTGCGTTTGCTAAAGCTCAGGTTTATTATTGTGGTGAACTTAGGTGAAGCCAGGCGAACAAGGTGTACGCCAGTCTATCCTTCACAAGAATGAAAGCCATGAATAGTCAAGAATTCGAACTCGTCGACGGTGGTTTCCAACCAATTCTCGTACTGATCGTTCGCGGGGACTCCTCAATTCTCGTGGGAACATCGTTGCCAATCAAGTCTCGCAGGGGCAGTCTTCCGGGAGGAGTATTGACTTCCGTAGGCGAAGGTGGATTCCGGTCATTGCCCTCGTCCTCAGGAGATGGGGTTTGCTTTCCTTCGATCGGTGAGGGTATCTTTGCGTCCGTTTCTCTCGTTCCGAGCGTTTTGTACCGCTTTCCTTCTTGCATCACGTCGACCACAGCACTGCTCGCCCGCTTCGACCGCTGTGCTGTGATCCGCCCGGAAATATCGGACACCAAAGCATTCGTGACGCGGACGCCTATTTCGTCGTAATTGAGACCCAGGTGGCGCGCCAGCTCGCTCAATGCTATGTCTGGAGCGTACTCGATGGCTTCTGCAAAAGACGTGTGGCCTGGTGCAAGCTCAATTTCGTCTTCCTCTTCCACCTCCTCTTGTGCCTCGTCCTCTGCATCTTCACCATTCACATCTTCGAAGGAGCGGACACCCCATCTTTTCCACCCATCCGTCTTGTAAAACTCATGCAATTTTGCCAGCTTGCTCCAGTTGCGCGGTTGTTTGAGGCGCCAGAAATTACCGACCCAGCGAGGGAAGCTATCCTCAGGAGGCTTGCGAAGAATCTGTTTGGTCGTGTCAAACATTTCTACAGGATAAATCCTGCTCGTGAGCCGGTATGCCGTCTGATTACTCTGCCTAGCGCTTATTATGACCTGTGTTGCTTGCAGAAGATCTTGCTTTGCCTGCATCAGATCTTGTTTTGTTTGCACGAGATCAAATCGAGCGTGAACGTCCTCGAATTGTGCGCGTGTTCGTTCACCTTGCTCTTTGATTTGGTCGTGCGTCCGCTTCTCTTGCTGCTGAAACTCGTATCTGATACCTCTGGCTTGAATGTCGGCGAACCGAGACAACTCTTGGTGGATATAGCTCGAGGTAAGAGATGGCATCCCGATATCAGCATGTGTTTCCGTGGTAACTTGCGCCATGGCCGGGAGTTCGATTCTCGATACCAGTAGAACAGACGTCTGACGTGCCGATGTCATGTCCTTTCGGGTGATAGGTACAGGTTGATAGAGCGGTGTTTGCGATCAAGACAGAAGTCAAGTTGCGATCGTGAAGATTCGCGGCCCGGACGCCAAGCCGGCTTAGGGTGGGCACGTGCTGCGGTAATCCCCCAACAATGCGACGAGCATAATTACGGGACGAATGGCCCAAAACTTCGATCGCTGTATTGACTCGATGCAATGCGCTGACATATCAACCAGCATTGACGCTACCGATGTCACTCCCTTTGTCCTACTTGCATCTCTCAGGACGCGCGAAATGACTCCAATTTGGTGGGCGTGATCTTAGCTGATATTCACTGTGTACCCATCGGATGTCGTTGCTACGGAGGACCCGCATTCGCTTGTCCCACTTTCTGAACGTACGACCGGAGTGGGAGATCGCTCGCAGCAGCATCTCATTCGGAGAACTGGCGGTGGTGGTGGAACACGGCATTGCGATATCGAAAAGGGGTGAAGGAATGATCGAATTCGCTGCTGCAAAGAGCTTCTACAATAACAAGGCCGCCCACTGTGCAGCATTTGCCACAAGTGTGGATGTGTAGTGGACAGCGCCTGCTTGCATCATGTGCGGTGCATGGGACTCATCAAACAGTCCTACTATAGAAACACTAAAAACTCATGTATCAGCGGAGATCCTATTTAGGTGGAAATATCTCGGCCAAGGATAAAGTAGTAACCCGATGCACAAAGCAAGAGTCGGGCATGGGTAGCTCAATTGGGTGTGGCAATTTCTCAGCAGAAGACACTAAGCTACATAGAGCCAAGCTTCGGCGCTATGCATTGGCTTAGCTCGACTGGGCCCCCACGTGTACTAGCCTGTTCTCGAACGTCGACCTGACTGATATGTGACGCGGCGTCCTCGTCTCCACCGATGTTAATGAGCCCACTCCTTGTGATGATGATGTGCATGACCGAGTGATAGTGATACGAACTACCTTACTCTGATCTCTGAGCTTCAAACCCAAAAGAGCCATTGTGAATCACGTTCGGGATGTGGACGCCGTGGTGACATGAGCAGAAGCTTTGCGCGTTCATCGAAGGCCTTCACTCACCAATGCTAGGTATAAACAAGGCCAGAAGTAATGCAGATTGAAGTCATTCGAGAAACCCGATGGATATCGTTGATATGTCATGCCATCGTATGTCGTGTCCCTGGTATTCATTGGATCAGCATTCGAGCCCTTTGTGGTTCTTCAAATCTGTCGTAGCAACGCCCATACACCAACTCAACTACTGCCGGTGCAAGATTTGGTGCACATTCAAACCATAACAGAATGGTGTAAATACATCTCGGGCTGTGTCTCACAGACATCACTTTCAATGAGGCTCCGAACATTGTTGTGGTTCCTATTGGCTCGTCTCCTACAGCCAGACGCTAGCCGCTAGGTGGAATATAGCACGCAAGTGCGAGATCTTTTCCTCGCATCTTATCCTTCGCGGACTTGTTCGAGGTTAGGGAGTCATTCATCCGTGTGGGGCTGATTGTGTGCGTTGATGATGATGCGATACGGTGTTCTACAATCTTGGACGAGCTATTTATATTTTCCATCGATCTGTTGACCATCACCGGATTTCTACACTACTTCTCCAATATATACAAGCACTCATTAATGTAGACGCGTCACGCGTAGGCCGGGATTTCTATTGATGTCTGATTGTTTGTAATATGCAACTGACTGCGGATGACTTGGAAGGCAAGGCTCATAGAGGTATTAATTTTTGCAAGTGCACAAGCCACGAATGGGGC